CTACCTGCTGAGTTGAAACAGAACTTTGTGGCAACTTACTGAGCTTTATTAAATATTTGTCCTGTCTTAAATTTTTATGTCAGATTCGCCTAGAGCTCAATTAGTGTGTATCAGAATCTGCAACAGTTGTGTATTCCAGGGTGGCAGATTCGGTAGGGTAGGTTATATCTAGTGTGACTGTTCTCCTTTAGATAATGAGCCTTGATTGATACCGGTTTCGGTTGGCTGATATGTTACTAAGAGACTGGGATTGTTTCAGATTTAAAGTACAGAATATTTCTAAGGGCGTAGCATCGACTCTAATACGGATACAGCATCTGTGAGATGAAAAGGGTCACTGGTAATGTGAAAATCATTTTTTATTAAAGGGACATCACTACATGTTTGGCGTGAAAGTGACTCTTGGATAAAATAATTGATCGCTCATTTCTCGTCGCTAATTCCTTTCTCTGTTCAGCCGGTTCTCTATTTTATTGTATTTGCTTAAAATTATGCTTTATGTAATCATTTTTTATTACCTAATCTCCAGCTTTTTTTATATGGCTTGATTTTATTGCCTAATGTCCGGACTTAAAAAGAACACAACATGAAGCGACGGAAAGGCACGAAAAAGAATCATACTAGAAAATTTATGATGATTTCTCATGCTCACTTTGGCTTGATCTGCTTGCGGTTCTTCTTCGGTCGTTGATTATCTTCTGCTGCTTGCGGCCAAAAGATATTTCGCTGTTTCATGATAGGATTGTCTACTAGAAAGAATGTGTAAAAACCGTAGATTTTTTCCTTTCCTCCACTCGTTTGGTACGACTGCTTTTTCGAACCAACCTCTACCGACTTTTGGATTTCTTTCTTCCTTTTGGTTGTGACACTCACAGACGGTGACCAGCTGATAAAATTGTCATTCGGTTACAGGTATTATATATGAAGCTTTGTTTTATGTGTATTTTGTTGTATTTGTATTAAGTAAATTGCTGGCAAAGTGACATGTCGTTGAACAAGTTTTAGCAGTTAAGTGTAATGGCTGACTGTGTAGTAACCTACTTGTTAGCCTGCACTGTTTAACATGCGCTAATCTCACAGAATCGCCTGGACGCGATCGATCTCGATAAGGCGGTCGACTACGTGTTGCGCTGCAAGAATTTCGATGGCGGCTTTGGCAGTGTGACCGGTTCTGAGTCGCATGCCGGGCAGATCTACTGTTGCCTTGGAACCCTGTCCATCGCTAATGAGTTGAATCGCCTGAACGCTGATCAGCTTGGCTGGTGGCTCTGCGAAAGGCAGTGCACCTCTGGAGGCTTGAATGGTAGTCGATTGCCTTTTGCTTCCATTTTTGTCACAATTCATGGATTGTATTGCTTTTGTTCAGGGCGACCAGAGAAGCTCCCGGACGTTTGCTATTCATGGTGGGTTTTAGCTTCGTTGTCGATCATTGGCAGGAAAGAGTGGATCGACAAGGTTGAGCTTTCGGAACCTGTCGGTTTAATTTTTGGGACTCATTGTTAATGTTTAGACGCGTCTTACAAGTTTTATTCTTGCCTGTCAAGATGAAGAAACGGGTGGCTTCGCGGACCGGCCTGGTGACATGGTATCGATGTTTTATTTGCGCGCAATTGCTTTGACTCTACAGTGTTCAAAACAATAGTTGTTTTCACTCAAGTAGAGTGACGTAAGAAAGTTTTAAAATTAATTGAATTCAGCCTCATTCATCAAACACCATTATTTCTGTATTAGGCTTACAAGTTTTTTTAAGCAGTCCCATTGCCACGACCCTTTCATTGTCTTTGCATAATCATAATGCTTGTACGTGCATATTCTTCTTTAAATTGGAATGAATTACTGAACTCAGACACAAATGCATATCTGAGTTACGTACGTGAAATTATCCACTGTTTGAAAAATTACCTAGGATATGATGTAAATCAACGCATATGCATGTCATCCATTTAACTTTGAAATCACTTTCTAGAAATCTTGTGGCTTCTCCGTTGATACTAATGCAACAGGCAGAAAGGCATTTTCAGTGAACTTCTTTGCTCTTATAAGCGTTTATAGTTAGCTAGAGCTTAATTCCTTAAGTTTCCGAAGGTTGACCACAGATGACCAGTACCCTGTACTGATCGGTAAATTTAAGTACGTCCAGAACTGCCCATTTTCTGAAAAATCTTGTTTCTGTGTAGGGGCTGCAGGCATCTCTACCTTCGCGCGTTTTTTGATATTAACGACTGACTGGAGTTGCTCATCGTTTGAGGGTATCGCTATAAACGGCTAATTTTGGTGTCTGTTCTATCAGTTGTCTCGCCTGCATTCACAGTCAGATTGGAGATAAGCCTGTCCATGACGAAATGGATGCGGAACGAGCACTACCCAGAGGGCTGTCTTTGGAATGGCGAAGAAATAGAAGAAATCACTAGCTATGTATACTTCAGCCGTCAGGTGGACAGCAGGAACTCGTTCGGCAGAGAAATCAGCTGAAGAAGAAAGACGGAATGGGTCAGCTTTAGCAGTATTAAAACATCACTACTAGAGAGTGAGCTGCTCATGCGCATGAACGCGGATTTGTTCGATTCAATCGTTCTACCCTTATGATCTATGCGCCGAATATTGGTCAGCTACTAAAGCAGAGGTGAACAAATTTATGGTCACGCGAAAAGCGATGGAACGACGAATGTGCTAGGTCTCCTTCCAGTGTCGCATTCCGAGCGCACAGATTGGATAACAGACATTGACAGACTTGATTTCTTAGTTTTACGGCTCCAAGAGAAGATAGGCCGGTCATGTGGCTCTATTCAAAGACAGCCGGTGGACGTCGAGAGTTATGAATTGGATTCCGACGCCTCCTCGGTTGTCCAAGAACATGCTGAGATAACTAGATGGTCAGCGGTCGAGGCAGAAAACGGACAACGCAGTTGGAGGAACGTCGATTCACGCTCTTATCGCACTCATAGCGAGGTCGTTTGGTAAAAGATCCTGTTTTAAAATGTGAACTCCTTATTTAGGGTAACCGGTTCTATTCAGCCTAGACTTCCTAAACAGTATGTTGCACTAAAATGAATACCCATTTCTTACATTACTTCAGGCATTTTTCATCTTAAGTGTGGCCTCCACGAAAAGCGGGAAAAGCAAACGTTTCGTTTAATTCCGGTAGTTCTTGAATGTTAATAAGAAGTGGAAGTTTAAGTCCTATATCAAACTCTAAACCCCTCTCGATCCATTTATATAACAGCTTAAATTCCTTAGTTCGATCTGACCAACCCAGAATTGTTTATCGATTAAACTGCGAAAACTGTATGATTTATGTAAGAAAACATGTAGATACTTTGAGGTATAGATAAAAGAGCGTCTGGAAGCCATTAGTCGGAACCATCCAAAATCGTAACGTGCTCCTTAAAATATCAACGTAATTTCAGTAGTAAATAGTACATATCTGTAATTCTTAAGAATACCTGCTTATCTGGCTTAACAATATAGACATATACAAGACATTAATTTAACATATTCTGCCTGCAATCCAAACTGTAAATCTTTATTCAGTCGTCTTTTCATAAGTTTTCAAAATCGACGCCTTCCTTTTATAGATCCTGCTAAACTTTTCACCAGGTTTCCTACCATTTCTGTTCTGCGTTTCCACTATCCTGCTTTCCTACCACTGCTGTATGTAATTTTTCGGATCTTTGTTATTCAAAGTTTAGTGCAATGTTTTATTACTTGTTAACCGCCTTGATGATGGCTTCTCTACCGAAAGTCCGAAAGGTCGGAATAAATAACAGGACTGTATTGTTTAAAAGGTGAGGAATTCAAATTTCGTTGGTGTATATTGAAAATGAACTTTCAAAGATAGTCATGCATTATATTTTCCTGTGACGTGAATTGACCTATTATAGCCTGATCCGTTCCATACGTTATTCGGTCTTGGAGGGTTATCGCTGCTCGGTGATTCAAGCCTTAAGCGAGTGAATCCTGTTTTGTGCATGACTGAAGAACGTCTACGTAGCTGTGGTGTCAAGCTACAATACCTGTACGTGTAGAAGCAAGCGCGTTACTCTTTTGCGTTATTAAAATACCCGTTGGTTTGCTGATTTTACGTCGGTGTTTGATTTTGCTGTTCATTGAAAAGTTGTGTTATTGTACTTTCTTGTTCAAATGAAGTTATGCTGTGTTAAAAGTTGTGTTAATCATTCAGCCAGCAATTGCTGTTAATATTTGCTAGGTTTCACTCGGTTCTACTGTCCTTTTGATCATTTAAGTGGTTTAAGTTGTTTTAATTGAAAGAATTGCTGCCAGTTATCGGTATAAGTAAATTGTTTTATCCACTTTATTACTTATAGCGAAGTTATGTGACAAATATGTTTTTCAGTAAAGATTCCTGCGGAAGTCCGGTTTAGCTTTATAGAGATGTAGAAGATATATGATTGAAACGGAATCTTTTACACGTTTTTCTTCGAGAACAGGCGTTAACATATTTGACTTGCTGATCTGTTCATTTCATCTGCCGTTATTATAGCAAAACATTAGCAGATGATGTTAGTGGTTTAAAATCTCTGCTAATTCCACTGGCTAATGATACGTTTCGTCAGTAGCTCATAATTTAGATGGACTATTATAAATGCTATGCGCAGGGCACGACGGAGAAAAAGGTCTGCCCGCTTGAGTCATTGCATAGAAAATTTAGATAATTAGCAGCCCATGCAAACTGCAGAAAAATTCGCAGTGTTTCCGGTATCGTTTTGGCAGAAACTATTTGAAGTAACGGATTGTTCTGCAAACTTTTTCCAATGCAGCGGAGGTATGAAAATGCTGTTCTAAATCTTAACGCTTCATGATGACCGAATGCTTAATTTCTCATTAAGTACAACTGTTCACATTTACAGTAATGCACCGATCGTATAGCATCGGAGAAGTTGCGCAACGGCATCCTGCATCATAAATCCTGATTGTTCGGAATGAAGTCGAGATTACAATTATTCTTCTACCTGTGTATTGTTGTTCAGACCTGTTAGCACCTTGATCAATACTGTGGGCAGAGACAATATGAATACAACAGGAACATGTAGCAAAGCAGTGTAATAAAAACACGTGAACAATACATCGAAGATTTACTATACGAGTAGCAGAGACGAGCTGCTTCAGTGGTATAAGATTTCAGGTGTAAGTTACTTCGTTTTTAAAGGAGTTCGGTTCGAAAATAATTACGGGTACCCGGAACTGATGAATCAGGCTGTTGCTCTTCACGAAATGGAGTACTGTGACTAAACATTGCATGATACACGGAGGCCATTGAAAATAATTCCGCTTCCACTATGATGAACACTACTGAACAAGCGCCTCAAGATCTTAAAATCGCGAAAGAGCAGAATTCTATCAAGGTTTTCCACAGTATGTTCATTTTCAGTGTGCCGTTTCTTTCAGATGGTTGGTGCAGGAGGTCTTTTAAACGATCCCAGTTCCCCGTCAGTCGCGTAAACTGAGTACGCTGCATTCTGACTCAAGATAATGCGGTGTGATCAATGTAATCGAGCTATCTCGTCCCCGAAAACTCGTTTTGGTCGTCTTTCATATGACTTTGCCAAAATACCGTTTCGGGAGCCTTTCCTCGAGCATGCTGACCATATGTCCAAACGATAGCATTTGTGGTCTTTGGATCTGAAGAAAAAATGGCTCACAAGCAAAGTTATCTCTGATTTGCGAATACCACATTTTGTCGTGCCTCAGCACATCAGCAACCCTTCGAAGGTATGTTTGCCCATTATCTTGGCAATCGCGTTCTTTCTGTCACTATTTAGTACCCTTAGTCACAGGTAAGGGTAAGGGCATAAGCAGGTTTATTTACAAGTATGCCCACATTATTGCTCAGCTCCTCCTCCTCATCGAACATCGGCTTAACTCCTTCATTACCGCAGTCTGGTGCCTACATCAACCTCCTGTTAGGAGTCATTCATGAATGCCATCGCGAAGCACTAGAAATTCTATATCTACCTGAGCTGCTTCATACAGAATTGCAGAGCACATAAGGTGGCCCTTCTCAAAAGTAAACGTCACTGGTTTTCATTAGGCTGATCCTTATTCCGACCTCATCCCATACTTCAGAGTCGATCAAGTTCACGTTTTAAGTCAGCGGTAATGTCGTAATCATCCGCAAACAGCAGGCGACTCACTCAGACATTCTGACCTTGAAATCTTTTCTGCTTAAAGTGCGTCTACTGATCCAATCCATATAGTGCACACCCTCTACAGAGACTAAGACGCACGCTGAAAGACAGTCTCCTTATCGTATATGCGAACAACATCCATGAGCAGATGCAGATGG